GCAGAATATTGCATAACATGACAAATAACATATTAAACACTAGTTTTAGGCTGGAATGCCCCTTTAAACATTTACTAATTTTCAGAGATTTTAACATCCTGCGTATCAGATATTTGACTGAAATTGCTGACTAGAGCCAAAGCTCATTTACCTCTTCGTCCCTGTCCTGGTTTTTACTGTATGAACTGAAGCTAACCTTTAAACAGGCCGCGGTTGTCACCCCGTTACCTGCTTTGACCTGAATATAAACTCATTGTTTCTCTGCCTCAAAACCAGGCTTCACTGTTAGCATTACACAGTGTAAAAGTGTGGAATAACTTGATTATCAATCAAGTTATAATTACATTATATTCAACACACAGTTGTGCATCCTTGAATATCATTTAACTTTAGTATAACAGATGAGTTAAAGTCAGGAAAGCAAGTGTGCAGTGCTGTGTCTTTACACATTTAAAAAACTTTAAAACGTGTTCTGCATCGTATGACTCGTGACTGTCTTTCCCACTCTCATAATCTGGCATGTGTCAACTCTCGTGATTTTTTTTTCTTCCACATACTCTTTAACAATATTCCAAGAATTATGATTTTATACAAACTAATATTTTTTATTGGCTGTGACTCATTCCTCTCCTGCCTTCTCAGAATCCTTTATTTGATGTTTCAAGGGTTATTTCATATTCGAGTGCAGTTTTACTCTCAATGAATTCAGTCATTTTTTAAGTGGCACAATACGGCTTTTTCTTTTTTCAATAAAATGCTGAAAATTTGAATATCAGCCAGAACAGATGATGATCGTACGTACTTTCTTTAAAATCTGCGAAGCTTTAAAATTAAATATTTTTAATTTGAGTGCTGTGGCCGTCTAAAGGTAGGCTGCCATGCCAAAACTAATCAAATCCTACCCCATGAGAAGAAATACGTAGCCATAAACATTCATACAAAACAGCAACTTTTTTCTATTCATTTAAAAAATATATTATTTACAGTGCAGAATTATATTAGTTTAAAATAAAGGAATTGTAACTAGAGAAACGTTTTCTGTTTCTTCTGACTTGGTTATTCATCTTCTACTCGAGGTCTTCTCCTCATGAGTGGATGATGTGCCAACCTGTTTGTTTGACAGAGAAACTCTTCCTGGACAAACATCAGCTGGAGTTGTTAGCCTAGTTTTTAGTATTGTGTTTTTAGTGTGCAAGAGAATTATATATTTCTCAGCTTTTCAGTTCTGATATAAGTAGCTGTTAGGAGTTTCTTTTTTTGTATTGTGCACAATAGTGAACAGTGCTTTTGCAATTTTGTATTTTTGCTGTTTCCTTAAAGGATAATTTAGTTAGATTCCTGTTTACCCACCCGAATCAGTTTCCTCCAGCTGAATGAAGGCAAGTCTTTGACTCAGACCTCAGATTTGATAAAAATCAACTCTGTGGTGAGGAGGAGCTTCTTTCAGCTCAGAAACATTGCAAAGCTTTAGCCTTTTCTCTGTTTTTTTGACCTGGAGAAAGTTATTCATGCATTCATCTCTTCTAGAATTGGCCCCCGAAATTACCAAGATTAAGCTCCGCGATCCATGAGTTGAAGTCAAACGCATCTCTTCTGTGTTATTTTATGGCTCGTCTATTGTTTTTAACAGCAGCTTGTGCTCAGTTTCTAAAGAGTCAGTCGTTAAAACAGTCGTTATGCTGACTGTACGGCGCCGATGTGCTGCTAGAGAGAAGGAGAGACAGCTTTACTGATGAATTCCCTCGTTTGATCACAGAGCACGTTTCCGTCAGCAGTGAACTGAACAGGTTCACTTTGAAGCAGACCCAAATACGGGTGGAGTGTTTGTCAATTCAAAACGAAGCGAACTAAAGAAAAAGGTGTGAAAAGTCCAAACCAAACAAAGCGTCCTGAGAAACTTCTTCGTCTCTGGTTTGCTGTCTGCACCGCGAGCCCGCGTCTGTGTTGTCTCAGTCTTAATGATGTTTAATTAGCCACTACTGCTACGTTTTTATTTGTACGTCTCTGTTGGTACTTAGTTTCGTTATAACGTGAAAATGTTTAATTCTCAGATTGAATTAATAAGGTAATCATGTTTTTAGCTTACGTTTTATAACTTCCAGTGAAGTTCGTGGCCCACTACGAATTACTGCCGCCCCCTGAGCACAGGCCCACGGACCACTAGAGGGTGCCTCACTGGTGGTCCGTGGCCCATAGGTTGAGAAACCATGGTATATAACATCTACTTGTGCACAAGGGGTCAGTGTCCAAACCAGAATGTACAGATAACAAAACTGTAGAGAAGAGGAAGGTCTGGTGTTGCAAAGCTTGGATGGAGTCAGCAAAGTACTGGATGTGAAGACTTCAGAATGGCCTGTGTCACAGCCTATAGTCGTGTATATGGTCTTTACTCAAGCCACTGTGTTCCCAGAGGTACCTTAGTATGGTAACCTTTTAACCCACAAGTACAGGGCATTTCAGGTAATTTGGCATGTTAAATATTGTGTCAGTTTATGATTAAGCGTCTTTACCTCAGCCTCCCTGTTCAGTCAGCGTGATGAATTGCAGGAAACTCCAGCACCTTAGGCAAAATGAAAACTCCAGGTTTCATTTCCCAGCTTCAGATTCGATCATGGGGATTTACGCAAGTTCTGTTCTCTTAAATTCCCAAACCGTGTCAGCTCCACTATGTTTACTCTTATCTAAAAAGATCTTACCTAATAAGAACTGAGTAGTTTGAATAACCTGGCTAAGGCAGTAGTTTAAATGATTTCTGTTTGTCAGTGCTCTTTACTTTAAGGGCCCATATCTACATTACATTCTCTTGAATTTTAATTTTCTCTTGAGGTCCACTTATGACATTTATGTGGTTTATGTACCAAAAATGGTCATAATTCACGTTTACATGACCATATTCCAACCTCTCTTCACTGCTTGGAATTAAACAGGCTGTTTTTGTTACTGTCCCTTTAAGCCTGATATAAATGTGCTCTGTTCTGATTGGCTGCCTCAGTCATATAGCACTCCACACCTGAAACACTACTTATGTTCACTTATTTAAAGTGAATTACTTTTATAGACAAGTTTGTTTTTAACATGATATGGGCCCTTAAAATGAAGACTATCATCAGTACATTTTGCATCAGTAACAATGGCCCTAAAACAACTGATGATATTTTAATTTAATATTTCAATAAAGGAATAAGCCATGAGGGGCTGTGGGTTACTGGGATTTTATCGGGGAAGGTTGTTCTTTGGCACGACGTGAAGCAGAGTGCCTAAAACTCCCTTCCCCATGATAAAATTGCAGTAACTCGCTGCCTCAAGTGGCTTATTGCTTTTAAAAAACAGTGGCCAACATAAAGTATATTAAAATGCACAATGTTTTAGGTAATTATTTTGGTTATTATTAATAATACTTGACATATTATTAAGTATTCTGCCAAGAAATGTAGGTTAAGCAGCCATTGACCGCCGAATGAGAAGAACGTTCTGTCGTCAATCGCTGTAAACTGCAGACATTTCATGAATTTTAGTTTTATAACGGTGAACATATGATAACACAGCACTGTTTAATGCAAATACTTTCACTTTATGAGTACTTTTTGGTCGCCAAATTATCACCACAAGTCTTCTGCCAGTCTGACGATGCCACTTTTCTCACGCTGGGGCTGAATCTCAAACGGCTCCCTGCTCCCTACATGGTGCACTATGTAGGAATTTAAATACTGACTCCTGCAGCCCAACAATGCAAAATATCGCTAAAAATGGTCATTTGGGATTCATCTACATTCATACTCAACAGGCAGTGCAGTATCTGACAGCAGAAGCTAGAATTTCTAAACTTAAATGTTACACAATACACTGTTTAGCTAGGGAGCAAAGAGCTGTTTAGGATTCAACCTGGGTTTGATGCTACTTCTGACTGTAACACGGTTATTTAAAGCATGTAAGACATTCGGGGACTTTTATACTGCAGTTTTTCAGTGAATCATATCGTGAGTGCTGTAATTCAACCCTGTGATATTAATGTTGGAGCTGTTTAGCCTGTGGATGAGCTGATCAGCCTAGTTCTAGATCAGAAAATAAGTTTTCAGCCTCTCGGTTTAAATAAAAACGGGTTCTTACTTCATCTTATCAGCGTTAGAGTCAAAGATCAATCCATTAACAGCAGAAGTGTTTTTCGTGCCGTGGCGCAGTGATACAGAGTTCAGTTGTTGTGAGGCATCGTAGCCGTGGTATAGCGTGGATTTTACAACAGCTTCGAACGCAGCTCAGCCAATCAGATTTTACTATCTGTTTTATAATTCGCATTATAGACTCCTGAAGAGGAGTGCTTTAGATGATGTGAAATAGCCTTGTTCAGCAGAGTAGTGTGCTGTGGAAACATGTGAGCACAAGCCTGATAAGCTGCATTTTGTATCTTTTGCAACAAGATAAGTCGAAGCTCATTCTGATTGCAATCTTAAATATGATATTTTTACTGTAAACATCTTTGTTGTAAGCAGAAATGTTGTGACAGTGCATTAAGTAATAACCCGAATTGTTCATATTTTCGGTGGATGAAATGGATGCATGTCATTGGTTGCCAAGCCTTTGGGGACACAGGATTGAAAAGTGGGGTTCTAAGCTACACAAACACAGCTCTGTCTCCATGAAGGGAAGGAAATGATAGGTTTTGGACTTCAGCAAGACCTGGAAGAATGCATGAAGAGTGATTGTGCCAGTTGTGAAATCTGGAATAGTGATCACACATTACAGCTTTTTGTGGAGGGGATTATCCTGACATGCCTCCTTGTAGTTCCTTGGAAAATGTAATTTCGATTAGTAAGAATTGCTGTCATGCCTGTAATGTGTGTTCTCTTGCTTTCTTTATTTAATTGCTTAACTACTTGGTTTTTTTCCTCTAGATGGGTAATTAATGATTAATTACTTGTTAATTAATTACCTATGAAGTTGTATGCTGACTGTAAAGATATACGATTCATTCTTAGTGTCTCTTTATCTGTTTTTCTCATCAGGTTCAGGAGAGGGAAGTGGCAGAATCATCCAGCGCTTCCCCAAAAAGGACTGGGATGGCACAGCGTTCCCTCAGGGTGTGGAGATGGTGAGTAGAGCCTGCCTAGAACATGTGATCTGGTGTTATAAATGAAGTAGGCTGGTGTCATGCTTTGGCATGGTCTTGGCAGTCATACTGTAATGCTCACCTGCTTGTGATTAAGTGATTAAAAAGCTCGTCATGATGTTCTGATTGTGTCAAACATGTTAAGAACTGTACTTAATGAAGCTGTAGGACCACTTCTTGCCTTTTAGCTGTATTCATTTAGGCTATATCACAGAGAGCTCTATGTATGTGGCCTCTTTTCACCAAAAAAAATAAATAAATAAATACATGGTAAAAGGGTAAAGAGAAATCAGTTATCTTGACACATAAAAATACAACCCCATTTCCAAAAAAGTTGGGACGCTTTTAAAGCATTAAAAAATATTTCATTGAAAATACTACAAAGACAACAAATCAAATGTTGAAACTGAGAAATTTTATAGCTTTTTGAAAAATCTGTGCCCATTTTGAGTTTAATGCCAACAACACATTTCAAAAAAGTTGGCATGGGGGCACATTTACCTCTGTGTTTCATCACCTCCTTTTTTAACAGCACTCTGGAAGTGTTTGGGAGCTGAGGAGACACTGCTGCACTTTTGAAAGTGAAATGTTTTCCATTCTTGTTTGATATAGGATTTCAGCTGCTTAGCAGTTCAGGGTCTCCTTTGTTCTGTTTTTCATTTCATAATGTGCCAAATGTATTCAGTGATGTCAGGTCTGGACTGCAGGCAGGTCAGTTTAGCACCCGGACTCTTTTAATACAGAGCCATGCTGTTGTAATACGTGCAGAATGTGGTTTGTCATTGTCTTGCTGAAATAATCAAGGCCTTCCCTGAAAAAGACGTAGTCTGGATGGCAGCATATATTGCCAAAACATGTATATATCGTTCAGAATTAATGGCCCCTTCATAGATGTGCATGTCACCCATGCTGTGTGCACTAATAACCCGCTTATACCATCATGAAAACTGGCTTTTGAACTGTGCACTGATAACAAGCTGAGTGGTCTTTCGCCCAGGGGACACAGTGTCCATGATTCCCAAAAAGAATTTCAAATATTGATTCGTTGGACCACAGGATACTTTTCCACTTCGCCGCAGTCCATTTTAAATGAGCTCAGGCCCAGAGAAGGTGGCAGCATTTCTGGATCCTGTTTATATATGCTTTCTTCTTTGCATTTTAGAGTTTTAACTTGCATTTGTGGATGCAGCGCCAAACTGTTTTCACAGACAGTGTCTTTCAGAAGTGTTTCTTAGCCCACGCAGTGATTTCCACTACAGAATCATGTCCGTTTTTATTGCAGTGCTGCCTGAGGGCCCAAAGATCATGACCAGCAAATATTGTTTTTTGGCCTTGTCCTTGCTATTTTACATGGATAAATGTTATTCTTGAGTTGTTGCACTATTCGCCCACACGGTCTTTCACCGAGTGGTGAATCCCTCATCTTTACTTCTGAAAGACTCCGCCTCTCTGAGATGCTCTTTTTGTTCCCAATCATGTTACTGACCTGTTGCCAATTAACCACCAGGTGTTTTTTTAGCATTTCACAACTTTACCAGTCTATTGTTTCTCAATTTTAACATTTGATCTGTTGTCTTTATGCTATTTTCAATTAAATATAGGGTTTAAATGATTTGCACATCATTCCATTTTGTTTTTATTTACATTTTGCACAGCATCCCAGCTTTTTTGGAAATGGGGTTGTATCTACTTTCCGCATCTTCAGGAATGCATATCTGCATTTCCTCTGTCAGCAAATACATAATGGTTGTTGGTTGTTTACGCAAAAGTTGATTCCAGCCCCTCTCATTTGCACTAATGGGAGAATTTCATGCGCTTGTCTCATTTTCTCTCTGTGAGGAGGGTTTTACCCATCTAGCCTCTTATCGTCATGACTCTGCTGGGTGTCTTAGCACTCCATATAAGGGCAGTATCAGGGAGATCACTCCCTTGCTGTCTCTGGGTCAAGCTGGGGGGTCTAAACTCCAGACTGAGGACCAATTACCAAGAGGCACAAATCATCCCAGCTCAGAACCAAATATTTGCTTATCTGAGACGGAGGAGAACAAGCTGTAAATCTCCAGAGCAACAGTAGCAGTAAACCAGTTTCTGCCCTCGGGTTCAGGAGCTCACATAATCTGCCTCAGGCCGTGAGTCCTTCTGTACTTGTTCACTTAGACAAAACTGCCCCGAGCCTGAAAACATGACTAGGTATTGAGACGCCTTTACTTCACTTAACAGTTTTCTACGGAGGGCCTCCTCTCTGCTTTGATCCCTCCCACAGAGTGGACGTCAACCATTAAAACGGAGATCCAATTGTAATCAACATTTTTCATGCTGGACAGCGTAGGAATAAGCTGCCTTTCATCTGTCATCATTGTGTGTTAAAGTCTACCTACAATATTTGGCTTCCTCTGAAACATTTTGCGGTACTTCTTGTTCTCAACCTTCTCTGGAAAGCGAACTGGAAGCAAATTCAACCTCAAATGAAACAGTTTTGGCCTGGCGTTCTCATGTCAAATTTAATTTCACTTTGGTCACAGCGCAGATTCGCTTCTGGCATTGACTGACAGGCAGTAATTACATTCAAGGAAGTCATGCGGATGTGAAGATGTTGAGAGTTAATCTTTCAAACCTGCTTTTCAAGGCTTACCAGTAAATTTCAAACATATGTTAGTCTTAAGGTAATTCAACATATTATTCCTTTATAATGCCATAAATCGCTGCTGTCGGAAGAAAACCTTGTATCTCCATTTTTTGTTGTTTTTCAGTGTGAAAAGGCCTGTTGTCCTTTACATTGTGTGTAAACTTCATGAAGAATGGATCAAGCCCAGAATGGCTTGTAAAAAAGTCTGGTTCCATTGACTTCCATTAAAAGTAAAGTATGTTTTTTCCTTCTCCTGTAAAGTTACCATTTTGGAGATACGAGGTTTTGCTCCGACAGCAGTGAAATTTAGGCTCTATTTTGTTCTAGGGCGCAGTGTTCATCTTGTCTGAGAGATTATTCACCCCGTAACAAGCATTTTTCATTACTAATAAGCAAAGTCTATTGATGGCGCAGCTGATGCATTCTTGGTAAGACAGAGGACATTCCTGACTATTACTAAATCCCATTTGGAAGACTTAAGAAGATTGTCTCATGATTGGGCGCATTCAGGCTCCCCTTGTACTTCGCTGTGAATCTCTGCGTGGGAAGGAGAATAGAGAGCAGCTGGGTGCTTTTGGGTATATTGCTTAGGGTTGCGCGAAGCTTGTCAAAGGGGCTGCATTTAGTAGATATAGACCAGCCCTCGGAGCAGGTGGCGAAGCCTCTGGTCAGCCAACGGATTGCATAATTTGGGTCAAGCCTGATTCTGAGCACTTTATAATGTGACTATAAGCACATAGTAACATTTATTGGATGACTTCTTAGGAAAAAGTTTTTATTTTTTTCACCATTTTAGACATTTTTTGTTGTTTACTTGGGTTCTACTTTGCTTTTTTGTTAGAATACTATACATTATACACATACATACACTGAAATGTATATACAACCCCATTTCCAAAAAAGCTGGGACGTTGGCGAAATGTAAATAAAAGCAAAACGCAGTGATATGCAAATCATTTAAACGACAACATATCAAATGTTGAAACTGAGAAATTTTGTTTTTTGAAAAATATTTGCCCATTTTGAATTTGATGCCAACAACACATTTCAAAATAGTTGGGACGGGGCAAAAATAGGCTGGTAAAGTTGTATAATGCTAACCTGGTGGTTAATTGGCAACAGGTCAGTAACATGATTAGGAACAAAAAGAGCATCTCAGAGAGGCTGAGTCTTTCAGAAGTAAAGATGAGGAGGAGTTCACCACTCTGTGAAAGACTGCACAGGCAAATAGTGCAACAATTCAAGAATAATGTTTCTCAACATAAAATGGCAAAGACCTTTTGCTTTTCACCATCTACGGTACATAATATCATTAAGATTCAGAGAATCTGGAGAAATTTCTGTATGCAAGGGACAAGACCAAAAAACAGCATTTGCAGGTCATGATCTTTGGGCCCTCAGGTGGCACTGCAGTAAATACAGATATGATTCTGTCGTGGAAATCTCTGCATGGACTCAAACACTTCTGAAAACCACTGTCTGTGAAAACAGTTTGACGCTGCATCCACAAATGCAAGTTAAAACTCTAAAACGCAAAGAAGAAACCATATAAGGTACTGTGTCCTCCAGGCTAAAGACCACTCAGCTTGTTATCAGTGCACAGTTCAAAAGCCAGTATTCATGATGGTATAGGGGGCATTAGTGCACATGGCATGGGTGACATGAACATCTATGAAGGCACCATTAATGCTAATCGATATATACATGTTTTGGCAACATATGCTGCCATCCAGATGACGTTTTTTTTCAGGGAAGGCCTTGATTATTTCAGTAAGACAATGTAAAACCACATTCTGCATGTATTACAACAGCATTGCTCCATTTTAAGAGTCCAGGTGCTAAACTGACCTGCCTGCAGTCCAGACCTGTCACCACAAACATCTGGCACATTATGAAATGAAAAATATGGCAAAAGAGACCCCAAACTGATGAGCAGCTGAAATCCTATGTTAAGCAAGAATGGGAAAACATTTCACTTTCAAAAGTACAGCAGTGTCTCCTCAGTGCCCAAACGCTTAGTGTTGTTAAAAGGAGAGGTGATGAAACACAGTGGTAAACAGGCCCCCGTCCCAACTTTTTTGAAATGTGTTGTTGGCATCAAATTCAAAATGGGTATATATGTTTTGAAAAAAGCAATAAAATTTCTCAGTTTCAACATTAAGTATGTTGTCTTTTTACTATATTCCTTTAAAAATATGCTTTACATGATTTGCAGATCATTGCATTTTATTTTTATTTACCTTTTTCCAAAGCATCCCAACTTTTTTTGGAAATGTGGTTGTACATATATCTAATTTGAAAATCAGATTGGTTCACTGGATTTAATGGAGATCAGGATGCATTATTTTAAGGACCA